TTTGATCTGTATTTTTTTTATTCCGCCGACCTTTTCTCTAGAAATATGATAAAAATGTTATGCACAAAGTTTTATAAAAGTAAAAATAATTACAAGTTAGTTGTTTCATTTAGTTTTCTTAAAATATTTAATATCATGACATAACGTATCACTGTATTCTTGACTTGGTTGATCTGACTACGACAATTTTTTGTACCCCTACCTGACTGTCAACAACAACACACAACCAAAATTCTGTACAACAAAACAAAAGGCGGCTTCTATGGAATTATGTGTTATATGTTAATCAATTACAATAACAGCCTTCTTTCGTTTAGACGATTGCTTTGTAAATGCGTGTCACTACAGCGCATCTAATTCTGATGAAAAAGTTGAGGCGTGAGACGTTATCATTACAGCGGTGTTCTTATACATAGAGGACAGCATGCATTTCTCAAATTTACTCGCCACGTCTGTGAGATGTCCTGTACTACCCAAAAATAAATAGATTCATGTGTTCTGGGGTTCTCACTACTATTCCGTTATCATTGATTAGTTGGAGTGGCACTATCCTATCAGCATTCGGGTACTTGACCAAATTGATGGGGCCGTTGTCGAAGCAAAATTTAGTCTTAACATTAGTCTTAACATTAATTCCATTCGCTTAAACGTTGACAGACATCGCAAAGTTCGGGAAGAACAGAGCGAAAGCATCTGGGCTCGATCTGAGAAGATGTTGTAGTTTAAACCGTTAACATTTAGTAGTGCCGTGACACCTTTGTTAGGGCAATGATGCAGACATACTGCGTTGAGTACACTCATTTCAGCAACTTCTGCATTATGCATTCCAATCCATTGGTTGATTACAATAGCTGTGCCCTGAAACGCCTGTTTTATGCGGCATTGTGACCTAACCATACCCTATGAAAAAAAAATGTTCTTATTGATATCATGTAACTTTGTCGTTATGAGGTTAGCCGCTGAACAGTGTCGTGAGAGGCAGAATTTGCGAGGGTGAAGTTATCCCGGACCATTATGCACACCCGGGATACGTGGGGGAAGTGGGTTTTTTATTTTTTGATGTGTGTGGAGGAGTTATGTATAGGTTATGGATTCCCGTATGACACGTGACACTATTACTCACTACCGGTTCATTACCTGTTAGGTTGGACCTGTTAAGAGGATGTGAGCTAGTCATCGGCCGACATCGGAGGGGCCTCAGCTCGTGCCTAAGTGAGCAACGTTTGTGGTTGCAGTTAGTTTTGGACTGGTTATGTGCTGTGGCTGCATACATTGGATGGGGGATGAGTTGGTAATTTAACGATTCTTTCATGTATGTTTTTCAGGCATGTCCGGTGTCATTTTGTAATTCGCAATATTTTTTTTTAAAAAGCAGACCTATGTTCAAACTTAAGGGTGTGCCACAGTGAAAGTTAATTTGGCTCACCTAGCTTTATATTGCAATTTGGCCGAAAACCGGGTTTCGAAATATATTTTTCAGCTCCTGGAAATTCAATTCTTAATGTATAGGATCCTATTTGAGGATTTAATAGTGGTTGTTTCTATGTATGTATAGGTACATGGATGCTGCAGAAGAGCCGCCTTCTGTCGCTTACACCTTATATTTCGCGGCTGACAATATATATGCAGTGCGTGGGTGTGCACGTCCCCGTGTGTGGTGCGGGCGTGCACGTCTCGTGTGTGCGGGGGTTGTGCACGTCCTCCTGTGTTGAGAGCGTGTGCATGTACGATGTGCGTGGTGCGTGCGTATGCAGTCTGTGCGTGCTGCGTGCGTGGAGTCGTGTGTACGACTGTGTGCATGAGTACGTGTTGTTGCGTGCGTGGTTGCCGTACAGGTGCGTGCATAGGTGCGTATGTACGTGCGGGCTCGTGCGACGTCAATGGTGCTGCGTGGGTGGTTTCAGTAACGTATGTGCTGTGTCGTGCGTTGTCGTAATGGTAGCATGCGCTTGCGTGTGTGCAGTGCTGTAACGTGCACGTGTGTTGCTGTGCGTGTGCTGTGGCCATACTGTACGTGGATGCGTGCGTGGTGTGCGTGCGTCGTGCACGTCAAGTTGTATGCGGACTGCGTGGTGTGCAGTATATATGGCACGTCAAGTGTCTGTGGCGTGACGTGTGTGAGTGCATGAGTGACATGCGTCGTGTGTGCTTGGTTCATTGTTCAAGTGGGGTTTTTTTTGTGAGGTGCTGAGGTTATGTAATATGTTTATTTGAGATTTACTGTGTATTAGTGCGTGCATATGTTAGTAAGTGGCGTGTTGTTCTTTGGTGTGCTCGAAAGTATGTAATATGGTTTATTTGGTTATTAAGCTACTAAAGATCCAAATTGCAATACAATTATACTATTCTTATTATTTCTAAATTGCAAGCATTTATAAAGCACTAGCATTATGCTGAAATAGTCGCTAAAGTTAATCATGAGACACTTACAATTTCTTCCACCGAGAGTCTTTGTGGGCAGTTCTTTTAATATTTCAATGACTTGTTTGACCAATGACCTTCTCTTAAATGATCTCTTAGATTCGATACGTCTTATCCCTAACAACTGTCTCATGCATTAGTTGGATTTTCACTTGAGCAATTGACGGGTGTTTACATGCACTTACAGCGTACTTGAGTCTCTTTCTTTGTCTTAAATAAGGCATATTTAAGAAACGTTAATGAAATATAATGATTACAATGCTAGTGGTGGTAACGAAGGGCTATAGCCACTCGGAGTATATCAATTATAACATGATAAAATGTTGAATGATGCAGTGAATTAATTAGTCCAGTACTCGGTACAGTACTGTCCTTCTATAGAGGCACTGGCCTCGATTATTTACAATTACAGCCTGAACCAATTACACTGCATTGCTCATTATAATTATTACTTGCTCTGTAGCGATAAATGCTGTCGAATGCATAACCACTAAACAGTTGTTTTTATATTTCTAGACTGCATGCGAATAAGCCAAGAAACTACTGCACCTTCAATCCAAAATGAGCGTAATATAATTGTTTATAAAGCTATTTTCGATATTACATTAAAGTGTGGTAGTATAGCAGCCTCTCCACTGAGTGATGTGCGGACTTTACAGCATTTAACTTGCGGTGTATATCCGCTTGACGATCGATCGGCTATTCGTGTGATTCTGTATCTTGTCCAACTGACGGTTTGATTGCGCAATCGTTGTACACCTTAACTCGCTGCCACCTGCTGCCAAGAGCTATGCGGACTAAACCTGGGAAAATATAAAGGCGTCACAATGCGCGATCAACGCTAAATTTCTCCAGTACTGACTAGCAAATACTTGTGTCATGCATTAACTACGTACCTTATGGCAAATAACTCTGTCTTCCCCCCCCCATTTCATCTGGCGTTGTATTATGTACAAGGTATTTTTGAAAATACCTCCCAATGTTGTTGGGAAGGACGGACGGACGGACGTACGACGGACGACGACCCATGGCAATAGCTCATCTTGACGATGTCAAGGTGTCGAAGGTGAGCTAATAAATGTGTATGAATTTGAATTTTGTGATCGATTCTCATCCAATCAGCAGCCTTGTGATGAAGTTCCTGTTATCGTAAGTTTTCTAATAGCTGCGATGTGTTTCTGTCAACGCTCCTCTCATAACATTAACATTAGTCGTAAGTGTTATCGTAGCATTAACATTAGTCGTAAGTGTTATCGTAGCATTAACATTAGTCGTAAGTGTTATCGTAGCATTAACATTAGCATTAACTTTACGATGTTTCTGACAACAGCCCCCTGGCCATTACCTCCTTTGTCTAATTTTCCCTCAGAAGAAACCCTGCATTTACATGGTGAAATGGCCATCGTTCACGGCCATCGTTGAAGCGAACAATAGGCAGCTCGCTCTAGGACAGCTGTTGGCGGGGTTCGGCAGAGATTTACAACTCGCAAAGATGCGTGCACTTCCACGTGTGAAATTAGTAGCGGGCTCCGACCGCTGGTTCTGTCCCGCGCCACGGCTACGAGTGCAGCTAAATCCCTGCCGAACCCCGCCAACAGCTGTCTTAGCGCGAGCTGCCTATTGTTTGCTTTCATCGGCCGGGAACGATGGCCATTTGACAATGTAAATGACTAAAACTATGTCTGATGTTCAAAGCTATAACTACATAATAAGAAGAGTATCGATAGCAAGTAATGTGTGAGGCCAAATTGGATGTACAATGCTAGTTCTGATATCATTTTTATTGGGTTTCACGTAATAAATCATAGGTAAGTTAGGGCATGGAAATGTTGAATTTCTTGTGTTTCGAGCAAGTCATACTCCTCTCTATATTATGCACTACTGATACAATCATATAACTGAAAACAAAGGGTCAACAATGTATGAATGTTCTTAGAAATGTTACTGTTAGCCTTATTATAAATACTTGCTGTTATGTTTCTAATTTCTATAATTCACATTTTTCTAGTTAGACTATAATGATGTACTTTGTGTTATTTCACATTGTTTGCATTTTAACAATTAAATGTAAATAAAGCATCAGATTCACACCTATTTCACCTAATTGATTATTGTCCCATTACCCAGTTTTGTCAAAGGAAACATAAATCATTGATGAAAATTGCTATAAGAAATACAACTCAATTCAATTATTGTACGTACATTTGTATGGTCCATCAGGGTAACAGATTTCACTCCGGCTAAGACGACATTCTTACATATCTCTGCTCCTAATCCACGCATGCCAATCACTAGTATACGACTTCCTCTCAATCTGAAAAAAGACGGTATTTGGGTAATTCCTACAGTCCCTGCTATGCGCGACTCTGCTAGTGGGATTAAACAAAACGCACCACTGCAAAACGCAGCTGGTAGCAATATTATGCAATATATTCCACACACAAATGTAAAATGTCGTCATCATATTCATAGCTCTAATTGGTAAATAGGTTAAGGTTTCTATTGCTTACGCAAATATATAGAAAATGAGTAAGCGCTGTCTATCTTTACATCAGTCTTAGAATTTGTAATCTAACCAACATCTTCCATTCAAAATCAGATGAATACAAGCATTCGGCATATATCCAATGTTCCACTGGAAACCAATTTCCTATTTTGAAACGGGTGATGGTTTGTGGGACTATTTGCTTTCTAAATTATTGGTTTAAAGGGATTATTACTCTAGGTTCTTCAGATATTCTCAGATAAAATAGGTTACAATTACGCTACATAAAAGGTTTTATGGTTCAATATTTATTAGAAGAAAAAAAAATGTTTTTCAACTGACGGCTATACCGTTGCTTACAACGACGGTGGTGCTGGTGCCCCTGAAAAAGTTGCACAAAGCAACGTTTCGGCTGCGGGCCAGGGTAAAAAATACACGGGAGCGATGAGCGATTTGCTCTTCAAACCTCCGAAATCGCTCCCGTGAGGCTCAAAATAGCTCCCATAACATTTTTTACAAGAGCTATTTTTCCCACAGACTTTTGAAAAAGAGCTCCCGTGCAAAAAAAGTATTTTTTTTCTGCTACAGACCGAGGGTATTTCTTATTTATTAATTTAAGAGCAGAAGGATTGCAATATCTTATAAACGACACTTAGTTTCAGTTATAATATGAATGAATCTGTCCTAAAATGCATATCGTTCGGTTAAATAGCATTTAGGTATAAATATAATTGCACTTTTGTGATTAGCCCTCGGTCTGTATCGTGCAAAATAAATTGACAAATACACAACTTTTTCAGGGAGGCAGCACGATCGCGGATGTCATATGTCAGCGCCCAAAAATTAAGATTTTGAAATTCAATGTTGTTTTATGACAAACTTTAATGCGTAATTATAGAAATTTGTAGGTATATGCTATTATTTATTAATCTACTATCATAATATACTCTCAAATTCTTGGGGAAAGTATCCTTTTAAGTTTGGCAATGCAGTCAAACCTGTATTTGAAGCTAACTGCATGACACCATAACAAACGTTGCCCACTAGCAAATATGTGCAACCCACTAGCATACACAGAACACAGTGCGCAGCCTAAAAAATACTTTTTTTGCACGGGAGCTCTTTTTCAAAAGTCTGTGGGAAAAATAGCTCTTGTACAAAATGTTATGGGAGCTATTTTGA